AAATCTCTCCGGTCAAAGTGTCCGTTCAAAATAATTTCCGTTTAGCGCAATAACGCATCAGTTGCGCAATTTGCGCCAATTATGTGACAGACAAGAATAGTCAATTATAATGTCTAACACTTAATGTGGAGAAAGAGATGTCCTGGATGGGTTGATTGTGCGTTGATCTGTTGGTAATGCCTCGGGGTTCCGGTGGGCATGTAAACAAATGCATAATGCTGCGCTATACTTTGCGGCCTCACCCAGTTGCATAGCGACACTTATTGTGTAGGTGTCTTTTAATAAGCAGGTAGTCATATCATTAGCTAGAACTAGCTGGATCTGATCGATATGGACATAAACGCGAGTCTAATCTGACGGGAGAGAGAGATCAGCTGCTGCTGACGAGTCGACACGCAGCTCTGCATGATCACATGCAGCGGTGATCGGACAAAACACACTCTTCAGGTTAGAATATCACACGTAGCTATTTTAATTACCTCTCAATCTACCTAAACTAGTTATAGATATGTTTAGTTTTACTGTCGGGTCACTCATTACTGATCCGCGAGTTGCATGATACTGAAGGGCTGTCAAGAGAGGGAGAGAGCGCTCCGTATATTATTCCCGTGTTATTGTAAATTACTGAACACTTTTGAATAGTTAATCTACTATGATTAGTTTTGTTTAATATCGAATCATATCAATTTGTTTTAAAGCACAATAAATAACAAAGAAGTCCTTTGACCGGCACTTTTCTAATTTTGTCCGGAAGATTTAAACTTTAACGGACATGTTGACCGGCGAAAAAATATTTGTTTGTAGTTGTTTGCAGAATCTTAGTTGTTGGTATTGTTGTGGCTAGTGTTGTGGTTAAGACGGGGGTTGTTGTTATAGTTGTGGTTGGAAAGGTGGTTGTTGGTGTTGTGCTAGTTAGTTCTGTAGTTGGGAGTGTAGTGGTGGGAGCAGTGCTTGAATTGGAATGAAAAAGGTGCCAGTACTCTAAAATCAGCAACTTTTTCAAGTCAATTTTATATATACAGCCCACAAACAAGAATTTGGCTACTATAATGCTGGTGGGTTTGTCTCTTTACTACTGTATATTTTAGAAAGGTTCACTGTACTTAACATTTTTTATGATAGGCAGCGGATATGGCTAAAGCTCAGTAAGGTCAATATTAACTGAAAATATAGCAATCAAAGTCTAGATCTTCTGCTGAAGACACATGAAGCAGAGACCTTTCAGGTGAGAGCCCCTCTGGTGGTGTTCAACATTAATGACAAGGAAACAAAGCTCTGGTCAGAAGCATTTTTTATAAAAAGCTTTAACAAAATTAAGTATTTCTGTACATTTTGAATGCAATCTAACTTTCCAACTCAGAAAACGAAAAACGAAAAAGTGCCAAAAGTCTTCTCACATGGCTGAGCTGCTTTGCAATATACTTCACCACTGAAGAATACAAATATGTATAAAGTCAACTATGATGCAATCTAACTTTCCAACTCAGAAAAATGATAAAGAGCATGAATAAAGAACATGTAAAAACAAATGCAAAATTTGCACAATCTAAAATGAGAAACTGTAACTGCAAGTAACAAAGTCTGAGCCATGGTAAAGAGTTACATTGAACACCAAGCTGATCAGATAACTCCCTGGTTGGTCTGAAGTCCTTCTATCTCCAGGATCTGTACAAATCGGCACATTATGCCAAAAGTCTTCTCACTGGGTGAGCTGCTTTGCAATATACTTCACATTGTTAGAAAAGGCTCCAGAAGGTCTTGGGGACATCAGTATCAGGGGCTGGAGCTGGACAGGCTCTTTCATCAGCACTTCTCCTTCCCTTTGCCAGCCAGGACCTCACATACTGTTCCGGATTGAACTGTCCTAGTGATGGTCCATTACATTTAATGAAAACCAGGCTGGATAGTCGGCTGACAGAGAGAGCATTCCTTTTTGCAGTAAGGATATCGTTCATGCAGCTGAATGCCCGCTCACACTCACTAGTGGAGACAGCGATGGTTCGGACTGCTTTCAGTAGAGGCTCCATGGCAGCAGGTGTACGGGATGCCCTGGTTTCCTTGTATTCGCGAAAGCCCTGAACAGTCTCTCTTCTGTCCACTTTCAGCACTTCGCACAAACGTAGCACCTCTACGTCCCCATACTGTACGTCTAACTCCTCTTCAGGCCAACTTCCAGGATGGATAACTTTCATGTCCTGGATTAGCTGATTGTCCCGGGCCTCCCGGCCATGTAATGCGATTTCTCTTGTGCTGACATGAGAGGAGGTTGTGGAAGTCATTCTGTGTCTCAGATTCTCTACCATACTGCGGAAAAACTGACCTGCATGAATCTGTACAAGCCTGCCATTCTCACGCAGGGCAACACCCTTGAAGGACTTCTCAGCTAGAGCTGTATGAACTGTAGTCATGTGTGGGCCAGGCATGGTGACCATGGATTCAAAAACTCGTATTTCTCGAGTTAAGAGCCTATCTGCTGTAGGCAGTGTCATCTCTCTTTTTTGGAGTTGCCGAGAGAGGTCGCTGAGCTCTGTGAGCGCATCGTACATCAGTCCCAGATTGCTGACAAACGTTGCAGATGTGAGCACATCATCCAGGCCCTTGTACTTTGCTCTGTCTCTGGAATCCCTGCTCGTGTCGTTTGCAGCATTTGTGAAGTGATCATGAAGCACTCGGTAGTTTTCCCAGACTGCTCTGACGCTCCTTTCACTTGAAGCCACCCAGCGGATGGACAAAACACGCCCTATCACCAGGAGACGCTGTCCGACTGCTTGCGCACACTGCGCTAACTGCCTCTGATTTTTGGGGGAGGCATGGAACAAGGAATAGAGTTTGTCAAAAAAGATCTGGAAATGATTGAGCCCTGAGACCTCCTTGACCACATCCCCAACTGCCAGCTCTAGACGATGATTGGAGCATTGCCACACAAACAGGCTTGGGAATTTACTACACAACTGGGTAGCAACGCCTGTTCTCTTCCCTAGCATGACTGAAGCCCCATCACATGCAAAATAAACGAAACACTGACCTAAAAAGTCCTCGTTAAAATCTCTTCCAAGACACTCCATTAACGCCTTTGTGATGTCATCAGCCGTTGTTCCATCCAACTCGATCAGCTCCCAAAAAAACGTTTCGGGCTCAGCATCAGCTAATGCTGAGCGTAGACACACAACAAGCACCGTTTTACCACTAATAGTGGTAGATTCATCGACCAAAACACAGAGTTTTCTTTGGTTTTCTGTAATGTCTTTTGTCATTTTTTTCTTCAGCTCATGAGCTATGTGGTCGATGATTTCGCCACAGGTTTTATTGGAGTGCAAAACCCTGCCCACGTTCAGCCCATTCAGTTTCTGTACATTCAAATCAATTGGCATGTCTGTGAATGGCCGGCTATGTTTGCCAATTTTATATGCCGTTCGAAAAACTCTGATAGTGGTGTCTAATTCAGATTTATGCATAGACTGCACTTGATGTTGAATAGTTTCACGTGAAGCAGATGTAAGGATGTCAGCAGCTTTTACATGGGCTTGTGATTCTTTATGTTCTTTGATTTTTTTTCTCAGGCTAGCTTGTTGTTTGCCCTTGTCAACACCGAAATGAGACACTGCACACTCACCCCATTTAGTTGACAGTTTCAGTCCTTGTCCAGTGTGTATTCCCAAAGATTTGACATCTCTGCATATCCGACATCCTAGCTTCTTATCTTTAAGAAGGAGCCATGCATTGGTCTTGCAAAAATATTGCACCTGGTCCGTTGTCCAGCAGTCAGGTGCATCGCTTTGCCCGGTGTTGGTGGTGGCAGTTGCGCCAGCAGCAGCTAACGTTAGAGGCTCTGGAGGAGGCGGCGGAGCTAGTGCTAATGCTAATGCACTAGAACTTGGAGCAGGAGGATCAACCAAAGAAAGCTCCCCATCAGACACAATTTCCAACACAGGCACAGCATTCTCTGTATTTGAAGTTTCTTCCGGCGACAACCGCTGTCTTTTTGCACTTTTATTAATCCACGCTAACATTTTAGAAATGCTAATTTGTGACGTGACTTGCTTTCCTTCTCTCGGGGGCGTGCCTGCTCTGTTCTATCACTCTACATAGCCACCCACTGGGTGGGAGTTGCACTGCATAAACACAACACACGTGCATCTAGGTATGTAAATTGTAAAGCATTAAAACATGGTTTTACTAACAGTTTTCAGTATGTTCGGCATTATTATTATTATTATTTTGAAACGTGTATTACTATTAAATCACGGTCAAATAGGTTAATTTTGACATAGTCGTTTCCACCACAGTATTTACATGGAGAAGATAAGCCCCGCCCCCTCTCCAGCACGTTCTGTTTGAATGACAGGAGTAAACAGCTGACAGCCGCTGTGAAACTCCAGCGGTTAGAGCGATGAGAATGTCCGTTCGGCACCTCATGACGCATCTACTGAGTACCGGGCGGCTGTATATATATATATGGATGTATAATAAGAACGGCGGGAGAGTGTTGAGTACTGGCACGGTGCATGAGTACCGGAGTACCGCCAGCATGCCGGTACTGAGCAAGAAGTGCCGGTACTCCATGGGTCAGAACCAGAAGTGCCGGTACTGCGTACCGGTGAGTACCGGCCCAATTCCAGCACTGGGTGGGAGTGGTGGTTGGTAAAGTGGTGGTAGGTGTTGTTAGAAGTGGTGTTGTGGCAGTAACGATGGTTGTTGGTTCTGTAGTGGGAAATGTTGTGGTAGTGGGGGGAAGAGTGGGGCAAATCAATTGATCCTCTGTTAATGATTTAATATTCTGGCCTTTTAGATGTTCTGGATACTCACAGGCAGCAGCAGACACAATCTTGTCAGAGTTTGCTTTTATCCAGAGGCGAAGAGGAATCAGATTACAGTCACATCGCCACGGGTTGTCACTGAGGTAAAGTTTCTTCAGTTTTAATAAAGGCTCAAAAATATCCTCTGGAAGAGTATGGAGGTCATTGTGAGCCAGCCTGAGTGTGACCACCGATTGTAGCTTTTCAAACAGATCTGCATCCAGTGACTTTATCTTGTTGTTTTGTAGATTCAGATCTACCAGCTTCTCAGGGCCTTCAAAGTACTCAGCATACACCTTTACAAACTGATTTTTAGACAGATCTAACTTCTTGAGTTTCTTCAGAGGGCTAAATACTCCTTTAGGAATGGTGCTAAGACTGTTTTGACTGAGGCTCAAATCTGTCAATTTAGGCATTTCTCCAAAAAGCACAGGTGGTAGACTTGTCTGTTTATTTTTCTGTAAGGTCAGCGTAAAACGCTGAGGGAAGCCAACGAAGAATCCTTCAGGCAAACCTGTAAGAAGATTATTCTCCAGAAGCAGTTTATTGAGTTTGTCTTTATGTGGAAATAGATTTGGTTTCCATGCAAGCCAATTTCCTTCAAGTTTGGCAAATTCTGGAAAATGTCTTCAGGAACCGAGGTCAGCTGATTCTCGTAAAGTCGTAGTATCTGCAGTTTATTCAAATTTGAAAACCAGTGGGTTGATACAGCAGAGAGATTGTTTTTAGCCAAATGAAGCACCAAGAGGTTCTCCAGGCCATCAAATGTCCCATCTTCAATCGATCCGATCTCGTTCCCATTTAACTGGAGCTCTGTTAATTTGTCAAGGCCATCAAACAAGCCTTTTTCCAGACTACGGAGCTTGTTCAATTTTAGGGTAATCTTCTCTAGGTTGCTGAGGTCTTTAAAGACTCTCACTGGGATCCACGTTAATGGAGTGCTTGAGATCTCAATATGCTTCAGGTCTACCAAACCTTCAAAAGCTCCCGTTTCAATAGATGTCGTGGTGGTGGACAGTAACTCCACCTTTTCAAGCTGCGGGTTTTTAACAAAGGCTCCTTTGGGGATTGTTGCAATCGGGCTTGACAACAAAAAAAACTCGGTGACACCTGGTCTCAGGAGGCTTGGGATTTCTGTTGTAGATGAACTGAAAACATCCTGGTTTTCTTTGGGACAGTCTGTTTCCCTTTCACATAGTTGGTTCAGTGAAGCCTCAAACAGCAAAGACAAAATAAGAACGATGATTTCTCCTCTTGACATGCTTATTCACTATAAAAAGAAAAAAATGAAAAACCTTTTACTATGAAATGTTGTAGATTCAACTCTAACCTTATATACCTTAGGTAGTTAAATATATTGTTTCTCTTTCCTATGAAAGGTAATGATGAAGTTTATCATAAACATTTGTTACAATCGAATGCCAAAACCTACCTTATTATTTCCTAACGCAGGTTGAAATAGGTTGTTACAGCAGTGAGGAGACACAAACACGTCCAGTTTCATTAGTTATCTACTGTATCGATGTTAGCCAACAGGCCTGGAGTGGGTTGCATCCCATGAGAGGCGTGGTGTCAAACACTTCTGCAGCTTGAGACTCCAGGTTTGAAATAGATCAGTCAGTTAAAGAAGGCTTTGACTTTGCTCTGAGCCAGTGATATAACTCCGTGTGTAACTATTTAACTCCGTGTGTTGCTGCTAGCATACATAAAACCTGACGTGGAAACGTTACTCGTGGATGGGGCTACAGAGCTGCTAGAAAGACGGTCGAACCCGGTACATTCCTCCGTCTGCATGCGGTGCACTTTTGCTAAATGTTTAGACAAATTGCTCGTGCTTACATGCTAAACTCTTATTGCACTTATGGTAACAAGTATTCTCCACATCGAGACGGGTAAAGTTTAACCACACCTCGGAGCGCGTTCTCTCCGCCATCTCCGCAGTGTGCTCCGCTGCATGTAGCAGCTGCGTGTGTGTAAACTGCCCCGCCCCCTCGCACACAGACGGGGGAGAGAGATCTCGTCTGATCGAAAATATATCATAGACGCATTTGTTGTCTTTGCATATTAGAAACGAGTTGGCGACACTAAGACTGCGATATAATGTTTTTTAGCAATAATACATGACATATAAATGTACTGTATGCATTCAAAAGTGCTGAATAAATGTTTTATGGACCCATAATAGTGATTATTATTTAAGTTAAGTTTTGCCATAATCATGTCTATTTCCATAATCAGGTAGCTGAACAACATTGGTAAAAAATGTATACATTATATATATATATATTTCTATTAATCATTTTCGGCCTTTCGGCATTCGGTTTTCAGCCAACTGTTTCCTATTTTCGGTATCGGTTTCGGCCAAGAATTTCCCATTCGGTGCACCCCTACTCTAAACACATACACGCTGAGAGGTGACACATTTAAAAAGTGCTTCTATAGTTTTTAAATCTATACAAATCTGAAACTAAGTGAAAGTGTTCATACAGCTGCCCCGTCACACTACATGCATCACATGACACATAACACCATGACTGACCCCATACAGGGAAGGGTGTTATCAGTTTCAGTTCCACCATAAACTGAAGTGCTGGCACAGTGGGATCAGGCCATCCTGTTGAGATAAGTCCACAGGAAATGAGCCAGCATCCTCTATGTCACTCATAAGTTGGCAGTAAATAATAATACGTGCCAAAAGTTTAACATTTCCAGGCAGCCAAGAATAGAAATAAAAACTCCCGCAAAAAGTTAGCACATAAGGTTAAGGAGAGTCAAACTGTCCAAAGTCAAAACAAAACTCACCCTCGTCAAACAGCAGTACGAAACTGGCTTTTACAGATACTGTCAGTAAAACAACAATTAAAAACGGAATAATTGTAAATATACAAAAATGGTTACAATGGGTCCAAAATGTTTGTAGAATTCTCAACGCTGAGTTGTCAAGTAAAACATGGGCACAATGATAGAAGCCTAATGAAATGGGTCATGGCCTACAGCAAATATTGTTATTATTTTCCATGTCTATGGCACCGGGTTCATTTGAGGTTCGGGCAGTATAAAGGATGTGTGCTGAGATGGGTGACTTGGGCGGTTATTTTGCTGGGTCGACCTTGATCTTGACAGACAGGATGCTCAGCTCTATAAGACGGCCCTGCAGAGAGGAGCAGCACACATCACAGCAACATCATCATACTGTCAACAGGCAATAATGGATTCTCTCTTCAGAGGTTGGTGGAATATTTGACCTGGCTTTTGACTGTCCTTTAAGAGAAATACATATACTTATAAATGTTTTTCCTCAATATTTTTATATTTATTTGTCAGGGATTGCATTTTTTTTAAATGTAAAAATCATTACTGCTGAGGTAATGACACATATTTCATTTCAGATTGAATCTCATGCACCAAATGTGTCTTTATTTCAACATTGCAGGCACCCTGTGGACCATACTCATCCTCTTCACACTGCCACACCTCACCTGCAACATGCTGTGCCCCGGCAGCTGTCTGTGTAACTTTAAAGGTGCCGTCAAGTGTGTTGGCGACGCCATCACAGATATACCACATAATCTGCCCGTCCACACGTACCTGCTGCAACTTAATGGCACTCAAATGAACATCATCAATGAGCGGAGCTTGGCTGACCAGGACCTGCTGTCGCGTTTCAGTCTGACATACAGCCACTTACATGCTATCCATCCCAATGCCTTCCACGTTGCTCCACAGCTCAAGTCTGTCAAGCTGTCGTCCAACGATCTCTCTACCATCTCTGCTCGGGTCTTCAGTCCGTTGGCGACACTGTGAGCTCTGTGAGCGCATCGTACATCAGTCCCAGATTGCTGACAAACGTTGCAGATGTGAGCACATCATCCAGGCCCTTGTACTTTGCTCTGTCTCTGGAATCCCTGCTCGTGTCGTTTGCAGCATTTGTGAAGTGATCATGAAGCACTCGGTAGTTTTCCCAGACTGCTCTGACGCTCCTTTCACTTGAAGCCACCCAGCGGATGGACAAAACACGCCCTATCACCAGGAGACGCTGTCCGACTGCTTGCGCACACTGCGCTAACTGCCTCTGATTTTTGGGGGAGGCATGGAACAAGGAATAGAGTTTGTCAAAAAAGATCTGGAAATGATTGAGCCCTGAGACCTCCTTGACCACATCCCCAACTGCCAGCTCTAGACGATGATTGGAGCAGTGCCACACAAACAGGCTTGGGAATTTACTACACAACTGGGTAGCAATGCCTGTTCTCTTCCCTAGCATGACTGAAGCCCCATCACATGCAAAAGAAACGAAACACTGACCTAAAAAGTCCTCGTTAAAATCTCTTCCAAGACACTCCATTAACGCCTTTGTGATGTCATCAGCCGTTGTTCCATCCAACTCGATCAGCTCCCAAAAAAACGTTTCGGGCTCAGCATCAGCTAATGCTGAGCGTAGACACACAACAAGCACCGTTTTACCACTAATAGTGGTAGATTCATCGACCAAAACACAGAGTTTTCTTTGGTTTTCTGTAATGTCTTTTGCCATTTTTTTCTTCAGCTCATGAGCTATGTGGTCGATGATTTCGCCACAGGTTTTATTGGAGTGCAAAACCCTGCCCACGTTCAGCCCATTCAGTTTCTGTACATTCAAATCAATTGGCATGTCTGTGAATGGCCGGCTATGTTTGCCAATTTGATATGCCGTTCGAAAAACTCTGATAGTGGTGTCTAATTCAGATTTATGCATAGACTGCACTTGATGTTGAATAGTTTCACGTGAAGCAGATGTAAGGATGTCAGCAGCTTTTACATGGGCTTGTGATTCTTTATGTTCTTTGATTTTTTTTTCTCAGGCTAGCTTGTTGTTTGCCCTTGTCAACACCGAAATGAGACACTGCACACTCACCCCATTCAGTTGACAGTTTCAGTCCTTGTCCAGTGTGTATTCCCAAAGATTTGACATCTCTGCATATCCGACATCCTAGCTTCTTATCTTTAAGAAGGAGCCATGCATTGGTCTTGCAAAAATATTGCACCTGGTCCGTTGTCCAGCAGTCAGGTGCATCGCTTTGCCCGGTGTTGGTGGTGGCAATTGCGCGAGCAGCAGCTAACGTTAGAGGCTCTGGAGGAGGCGGCGGAGCTAGTGCTAATGCTAATGCACTAGAACTTGGAGCAGGAGGATCAACCAAAGAAAGCTCCCCATCAGACACAATTTCCAACACAGGCACAGCATTCTCTGTATTTGAAGTTTCTTCCGGCGACAACCGCTGTCTTTTTGCACTTTTATTAATCCAAGCTAACATTTTAGAAATGCTAATTTGTGACGTGACTTGCTTTCCTTCTCTCGGGGGCGTGCCTGCTCTGTTCTATCACTCTACATAGCCACCCACTGGGTGGGAGTTGCACTGCATAAACACAACACACGTGCATCTAGGTATGTAAATTGTAAAGCATTAAAACATGGTTTTACTAACAGTTTTCAGTATGTTGTTACTTCGGCATTATTATTATTATTATTTTGAAACGTGTATTACTATTAAATCACGGTCAAATAGGTTAATTTTGACATAGTCGTTTCCACCACAGTATTTACATGGAGAAGATAAGCCCCGCCCCCTCTCCAGCACGTTCTGTTTGAATGACAGGAGTAAACAGCTGACAGCCGCTGTGAAACTCCAGCGGTTAGAGCGATGAGAATGTCCGTTCGGCACCTCATGACTCATCTACTGAGTACCGGGCGGCTGTATATATATATATGGATGTATAATAAGAACGGCGGGAGAGTGTTGAGTACTGGCACGGTGCATGAGTACCGGAGTACCGCCAGCATGCCGGTACTGAGCAAGAAGTGCCGGTACTCCATGGGTCAGAACCAGAAGTGCCGGTACTGCTACCGGTGAGTACCGGCCCAATTCCAGCACTGTGTTAGATACGTGAACGGGTTGGTGGGGACCTGCGGGTTTCCCGTTATGCCCCTTCTGAACAGTCACCCAGTCTCCCTGCTGCTCGGGAGTTGCCGGGGGACGGCTAACGGCCCGTATACACTACAGGCGTCAAAAAATGCTTTCAACGCTTCGCCCATTCATTTGAATGGGGTGACGTAGGATATTTTCAAACTTCGCCGAACTGCATTGTGGGTAGCATGGCAAGGCGTTGCAAGCATCGCGAGCGTCTATCGGCGTCAAAAGTTTAACAATGTTCAACTTTCGAGGCTCGATGCTTGCTCGAAGCTGGCGTCAGCCAATGAAATCCTGTTTATGCACATCTGCCAGTACAAGCGCTAGCCAATCAAACCGCGTGTATGCTGGGAGAGACTACGCAGGTCATTTCCTCATATTCAAAAAAATGGAGGGAAAATTCATTATAGCGGTAGTGAATCACCCGGTGCTGTATGATCAGTCTCTGTTCATCTACCGGGATACAAACCGGAGGAGCGAGGCATGGAGGGAGGTGGCAGAGACAGTGGGTGAAACTGGTAGGTTTTCGCCTGTTTGGGATTTTATATCCAGTTTACTTCGTTTTAACATTACTATTGCTTTGTATATCGGGGGCGGGAGATTAATGTGATTGGTTGTTGGTCGCGTTGCTCGCAAAAAATCGCCAAGCCTCAGACACGCCCAGCTTCAAGCTTTTTCGACGCCTGTAGTGTAGACGGGCCGTTACTTTCTAAGATGCGGAGCCGGGCTTCTATGGCTATGATTCCCGCCTCCAACCTAACAACTATACTACATTTAACACATGTACCGGTACCAGTAAAGGAGGCAGGGAAGTAACCAAACATGAGACAGTTAGAGCAGGAAATAGCACCCGAGGGTGGGGAAAGAGCCATGGCTAGCTATCAAGCTAAAGTAGCTACCGTTAGCAAACCCGAAAAGAGTGTAGGCAACTGTGGAGTTACAGTCGCTAAGAGAAGGAGAGTTGTGAGTGCTTAAGCTATAGTAACGTGTGATTACAACGTCAGGCAGATGCCGTGATCAAGAGTTTTAAAACGATCGATTAAGTTAAGATTAGTGATGTTACGTATTGCGCCGAGGCTTCGGAGCGTGTGTCGAGTAATCCCCGAAGCTTTTTGTCAAGCATGTATCGAGGGAGGCTTGTATCGTTTTGGGCCAGTGACGTCATCGATGACAAACGAAGCCTCGCTGCCTGCCGATACCACGTGACTGCTTCAAAAAGCGATTCAGATCGGTTGAGCCGTTGAACCACAACGCTCATAATACCCATGGATGTATAATAAGAACCATATTACCCCTCTTGTACCCGGGCCCGGTGACACGATGGAATCAAGAGAGACATGTCATAAGTATAAATAGATACCAGCATAAATAAATGTAGGAATAACAACATCAATAAATACAGGAATACATAGTTCCAGTGTTTTCAGGGAGCTTTAGTGTGTGTGCTGCTGTGGCTCAGCTGGAAAGCAGTTGACTCATGCCGCAGGGTCCCTGGTTCAACGACTGAACAATACGTCTTTTATGTTGTTTATAAAAGCTACAGCTAATAATGTAGTTATGTAATGTATTATTTGATATGGTTTAGCCTTTCTCAAGCTACAACATGTTACGTTTACGAATATTATTAAGGAATACTAATCCCTCTTTGCAATGTTTACCAGCCTCCTTAGGCTTTTCAATCACAATCATTAAACTGGAATAAATACAATATTGTTAACATGAAAATATGATTTTATGTTCGTTGTTTAGAGTTATTCTAAGGCTTTACTCAATGGGAACTCGGTATGAGATGATGGAGCACACGGTTGAGATGTCCAATCTGCCTGTTTTACACACTTTGACCAACAGGGGGTTTGTGTTCAAATGAAGCCCATGATGAAGCCTCATGAGATGAACCCTTTTGCGAACCTATTGGCTGGAAAGCTTCATAAGGCTTCATCTCGCCATCACTAGTTAAGATAATAAGCTATCAGCAACAGAACAGGCACACGGGATACCCGGAGATGACAACAACCGGAAGTTACAACATGCTTACCGCAATAGTGGTCCGTGTAGAAACAACAATTCTGCCCTTTTAGATGTTCTGGATACTCACAGACAGCAGCAGACACAATCTTGTCAGAGTTTGCTTTTATCCAGAGGTGAAGATGAATCAGATTACAGTCACATCGCCACGGGTTGTCACTGAGGTAAAGTTTCTTCAGTTTTAATAAAGGCTCAAAAATATCCTCTGGAAGAGTATGGAGGTCATTGTGAGCCAGCCTGAGTGTGACCACCGATTGTAGCTTTTCAAACAGATCTGCATCCAGTGACTTTATCTTGTTGTTTTGTAGATTCAGATCTACCAGCTTCTCAGGGCCTTCAAAGTACTCAGCATAAACCTTTACAAACTGATTTTTAGACAGATCTAACTTCTTGAGTTTCTTCAGAGGGCTAAATACTCCTTTAGGAATGGTGCTAAGACTGTTTTGACTGAGGCTCAAATCTGTCAATTTAGGCATTTCTCCAAAAAGCACAGGTGGTAGACTTGTCAGTTTATTTTTCTGTAAGGTCAGCGTTTTAAGCTGAGGGAAGCCAACGAAGAATCCTTCAGGCAAACCTGTAAGAAGATTATTCTCCAGAAGCAGTTTATTGAGTTTGTCTTTATGTGGAAATAGATTAGGTGACAATTCTGCTATTTGGTTTCCATGCAAGCCAATTTCCTTCAAGTTTGGCAAATTCTGGAAAATGTCTTCAGAAACCGAGGTCAGCTGATTCTCGTAAAGTCGTAGTATCTGCAGTTTATTCAAATTTGAAAACCAGTGGGTTGATACAGCAGGGAGATTGTTTTTAGCCAAATTAAGCACCAAGAGGTTCTCCAGGCCATCAAATGTCCCATCTTCAATCGATCCGATCTCGTTCCCATGTAACTGGAGCTCTGTTAATTTGTCAAGGCCATCAAACAAGCCTTTTTCCAGACTACGGAGCTTGTTAAACTTTAGGATAATCTTCTCTAGGTTGCTGAGGTCTTTAAAGACTCCCACTGGGATCCACGTTAATGGAGTGCTTGAGATCTCAATATGCTTGAGGTCTACCAAACCTTCAAAAGCTCCCGGTTCAATAGATGTCGTGGTGGTGGACAGTAACTCCACCTTTTCAAGCTGCGGGTTTTTAACAAAGGCTCCTTTGGGGATTGTTTCAATCTGGCTTGACAAAAAAAACAACTCAGTGACACCTGGTCTCAGGAGGCTTGGGATTTCTGTTGTAGATGAACTGAAAACATCCTGGTTTTCTTTGGGACAGTCTATCTCCCTTTCACATAGTTGGTTCAGTGAAGCCTCAAACAGCAAAGACAAAATAAGAACGATGATTTCTCCTCTTGACATGCTTATTCACTATAAAAAGAAAAAAATGAAAAACCTTTTACTCTTTATGAAATGTTGTAGATTCAACTCTAACCTTATATACCTTAGGTAGTTAAATGTATCGTTTCTCTTTCCTATGAAAGTTAATGATCAAGTTTATCATAAACATTTGTTACAATCGAATGCCAAAACCTACCTTATTATTTCCTGACGCAGGTTGAAATAGGTTGTTACAACAGTGAGGAGACACAAACACGTCCAGTTTCATTAGTTATCTACTGTATCGATGTTAGCCAACAGGCCTGGAGTGGGTTGCATCCCATGAGAGGCGTGGTGTCAAACACTTCTGCAGTTTGAGATAAGAGCAAGCTGTTCTGCAGCATGGTTATAATTGTTTTCTAATGTTATTGATTGAAAAATACAATATAGTAATAGATAGTAACTAAGTATCTATCATTCATGTGCACACTCTAAACATAGACTACAATATATATATATATAAACATTTTCTAATTTTCTAAAATATATCTTTTCCCACATCAGGAAAGTTTCACTTCACATGCCTTCATCTCCAGTTTTCTTATTATGTTTTGTTTGAACTTCCTTCCTTTTATTGTTAATATCAGGCAACAATTAGATATAATGTACATTACAGTATTTATGTTTCACTTGTTTTGTCTTGGGCAAAACAAAGGATGGAATTTTTGTTTTTTATGTAAATGATTCAACCATTTTTCTGACTGCCTTCAATATGTGTGTCAGTCTTTTTTGTAAACTTAATTTAATGAAGAGATGAGTAGACATGAATAAGATGGGTGGGTGTAGTTTACAAGTAATAAATGTACATCATCACTACATTACAAAACATACATATTGCTGTAAATGCAACAAGGGTTTATGGTGCAATATCATGCTGTGCCTCCTTCCCTTTACCATGACCCCTTTTAAATCTGCTCAGTCTGAAGTTTATTTTGTTGAGTTTGAATTACTACTCAACTTAATCAACATCATTTCAGACATACCAATGATTATAAATTGTGTGTATGATATTTTCTTTTTCATATAATGTATAAAAGAATATGTCGGTGTAATTGCAATTGTATTGAAATATTGAATCCTGAATAATGTGTAAATAAAAGATCACTTGTTCTCAGATTCAATGAGGTTAAGCTTGAGTGTAATACAAAATAGCAGTAAATAATAAACACAATATAAGATTGCTCCCACTAAAAGTAGTGCATTTATTCAACGTATAGTAACATTTTGCATTTTAAGTGTGAAACCATAGTATGAGTTGAGTTACAGTCGAGTCAAAATATTTTTTAACGATTGCCGTTTTGCAAAAAGTAAACCTGTCTCCTAAAAGTATTGTTAGCACAAAGAGTCATTGTCAAACTGCAACTATTGAAATTGATTTCACAAAGTACTGAATGCAGTATTAAGTCTGCAATAAGAAATACACAGAGCCTCTGAGCTTACATTCCCCGAAATGTCCATGTTGCCCACAAGATGGCAATGTGGTGTTTTCACCATTAGTCAATACCATATCAGTTGTCTTTTTACAGCACACATGAGGGAAAACTGGCTGGTAAATTCATTACAAATAAAATCATTTAAATTGAAAGCTGATTAATTTTTAAAGTTGACTTGTTTGTTTTAGCTGGTACATCTGAATTGAAATGAAGTGGTGAATTCTGTTGCTTTTGAAGCTTAAACCAACTCCGGGCTCCACATTTTCCAACTCAGCCACAATAACCAGTTAGCATTTTCCCTTGGCTTTAATAGTTCTTGGGTTGCTAAAATTGGGTGGTCTCATCTACAGCACAGAGTTCTTGTTTCTGCGGCCAATATTTCCCCTGCCTCTCTTGTTCTTCCTCCAGCACACAAAGCCGATGATGACAGTGCTGATGATGACAGTGGCTACTACTGCGATGACGATGAGGATGATTGAGTTATCATTAGAAACAGTATCCTTCTCCCCTTGCCCACCACTGGTGACCTCCTCACTGCCACTCTCTGAGGCAGCGGTGGTCTTGACTACAGGTGAGGAAGTGCTTAGTCTCGCTGGTGGAGTCTGTGGTTTCCTCCTCTTCTCCGTGGAGGTCAACACAGGGGCCTCTGTAGAGCCGAAGGACAGGAAGTTCTTATCCTCCAGCAGAGCAATTACCTCGCCATTCAGATTTAAAGGTGCTTCACACACCACAAGCGTTTGGTTGGCCTTGGATGGGTGCTGTTTCAGCCAGTTTCTAAGTGGTAGAATATCCCTGTCACACCTCCAGGGGTTCTGCTGCAAGAGAACCTCCTTTGCTGAACTGAGCCCATCTAGACTCTCTTGTGGCAGATTGAGAAGGGAGTTATTTTGCAGGTCTATCTGTCCCAGGTTGCTCACGCCCTGGAGAAATCCCAAAGGTAGGGTGCTGATGAGGTTATGCTCCAAAGAAATGTTGACCAGACTCGGCAGATCTTGGAAAGTCCCAGCTTGCAGTGTTGTGAGCAGATTAGTGTGAAGTGATACCTCTCCAAGCTGCTCCAACCCTCCGAATGCCCTGATGGATACAGAGCTGATTTGGTTGCGACTGAGGATCAGGAGACGCAACTGTGTCAGGTTTCTGAATGTGTCATCCTCCACATGACTCAGTTTGTTGTCATACAGCCACAACTCCTGCAGGGCCATGGGCCCAAACACTCCTGGCCCCAGACTCTCCAACTGGTTTTCATACAAGGAGATCTGGGAAAGAATGGGTAGGTTTAAGAAGATCCCTTGTGGAAGAGATCTGAGCCTGTTGTTGGAGAGGTACAGCTTCTGGAGTTTCAAAGTCTTGGAGAACAGATCCTGGTGGAGATGAGTGATTAGATTGTCATGTAGGGATAGTTCCTCCAGTTCTCCAAGGTCATCCAAACTTCCAAGGGGTATTTCCTGTAGAGAGTTTTTGTTAAGCCGTAAGGTTTTCAGCTTTGAAAGACCCTTGAATGTCTCTCCAGGTAGATGACTGATATTGTTTCCAGAAAAAAGAAGGATCTGCAGCTCAGCAAGAGGGTGAAAAGTTTCTACAGGTACATAAGTGAAAAGATTTTTGCTGAGGTCAAGGAGTTGTAGCTCTGCCAACGTGAAAAACCAGTTAGGGCGGAGTACCAGGAGCTTGTTGCTCTTCAGATTCAGAGACTTGAGTTTTGGAAGATTTTGGAACAAGGCTTCAGGGAGATCTTGTAATTCAGTTGTAGTAAACCCTAAGACACCCATATTCGGAGATAAATCAAAGGTGCCAGTGCGTACTTCCCTTAAAACTGTGTCTTTCATAAAAAATATCTCAAGTGCATCAGAAAAATCAGTCAGGTCCTCTGGTTTCAGGGAGTAGATACTGCAATTGGAGAGGTAGGTGGCTGTGGTTGCTGAGGGCACACTCGTGGGGAAGCCTGAGAGCTCTCTGCAGAAGATTTGGGTTCCTTTACACAAGCATCCATCTGGGCACGCCCAAACAACAGTGTGGAAAGAGCAGATAAGAAGGAGCACTTCAAGCTTCAGGGGCAGAGCCATTTTCTTTTACCTAGAACAGAGAAAACAGCTATGTTAGAGTCAAGGTTGGTTATGAATCTTGAATCAGTTTTACATAGATGGCAAAGTATATTTGAAGATGTCATGGACGTTATGTACTAACATCTTTAACATGTCAAAGTCAGTTAACCACCAGTCACTTGGATTAGTTCCACCTATTTAAACATTTTAATATGTCCTCTGTAGCTCTGGAGGACTGGTGTCAAGAAAGATACAATATATTTTATTTTACATTTTTATAAGAATGCCAGTGTTACAAATGGTGGTATGGAAAGTGGTGTTTAAAAGACATTTGCATTTAGAAAGGGCGTAACTGTCCGCTTTAAGTGGAAATGAGAGCTTGACCCATACTAGCAACTATTGTCAGCCCATGGTTTAGCAATGTGTCTTTTATATGCACCCCAAACTTATGGATGTGCAATATTACATTTATTTGACTAATGCTGAGCACAAGTTCATGCCAGTATGTGAGTTATCCGAACTTTCAATCATCACTATAATTGCGTGAAGGGTGTTAGGACCTCTTATTAGTAACCTGCCTACATGTTGAATGCCTCAGCATTCTTGTTTAATCCAAAAAGGAGACATTTGCATTTGCAATGCATCCAGTGTTGTACTTTGTTGCCTGTGGCTTGGAGCATCGCCCACCAAGATGGCCAATGGAACTGGCTGGTAAATCACCATGACTAGTAGCATTTGGCATTAAAACCAAATTGGTTTCAAACAGCATTTTTCTAGCTCAAATAAAAGGTGTGCTGCCAAATGTTGTCAAGTATTACATTCTCAAACTGCAGAGTATACAATTATAGAATATGGAAATGGGGTTTGTTTTTCTGCCACGAGCTAAAGGATCTCTGTGTCTCTGGTGCATCACATGTTTGAGGCTGTGGCGGAGGCTGGGCTTTCTGTTTGTTATGGCACAGGAGGCTCCAAAGGCAAAGCTCTGCCAACATAATGACCTGCTTCTCCATACAAATCCTTTTAAAGTTCTGCAACTTACGGTTGGCAATAATGAGTCGTTTCTCAGTGGTTTAGATGTATTAGGGTGCAGAAAGTGTCTTTCCAAGGAAGTAACTTTCTAAAGAGACCAGTATGCCCCTCAAATGAGCTCAGCAAAAAACGATTTATTTCTGTCTTTCCCTCTTTTCCCTTTCCCTCTTCACAGCAAAGATATGGTTATAAAATACATCCTGTTGCGTCACAGCTGTTTCCAATTTCAATACATTCATACTCATATCTGTTTTCATTTAAGAGGTGGGGGATGGGTCTCCGCTGTGAGAGGTAAAATGTTCTCATTGTTAGTAAAACAGCAGTATATGCTATTTTGAAACCCGTTATTCTGTATTCCCAACCCCACCGACACTCCTACTTTACCATTATCCTTACTGCTACTTTTAATAACCTTAACCCTAAACATTTGGTATAGCATTCCTTCTCATTTGTTCAAATTAGGTTTTATGGGGCAACACCCAATGTTTTCATCACTATCACCATTTCCCTTTTTCTTGTGTGAAAGAGAATAGTCAAAGTTAACATTTAAAACAGGGATGTGAATCTGAATACACTAGCTGTCAATTGAGTAATTACTAATGTGTTATCTTTATATAGTTCCCCTTCCCCAGTTTATGTTAAGGTGGGAAACATTAGGAACAATGGATTTAAGCAACTTAAGTAACTTTTCAGACACATGACACATTCTAGCATCACTGCTTGTAGACACAACATCAACACACTCATAAACCATGTTTCCTCATGAGTTTGTAGTATAACATCCCAGTCCAACAGAACCCTCTGTCTGCTCCCAACTTAGACAACCTGGAATGCTCTGCAGCACTGTGTAATGGCTTAAGCATTTCCAGTTCACCATTAATTGCTTTATTTTTCCCCCCCCTGAGCCATAGCTGAAGGATCAGGACTTTGTGTGTCATGAAAAAAACTGAACTAGCAAAGTGGGGCACAGTGCTGCCAGAGAATCTCACTCAAGCCACATAACTTGATTAAAAGTTTATTTTAAAGGTTTATGATTACTACTTTATGAAACATAGTGTTAAGTCTAAAATAAAAATACAATTTTAACACAAAGAATGTCACTAAATTCAAGCAAACTTATCCTATTGGCAGTAATGTACTTTACACAACAATACAGACAGGTTAAATTGTGTACAGAAGCTTACTGTAGAAGTCCAATAGATTACTCTAGCGTAATGCTGTTATAACTTACTGATTGCTATCCTTCTCTTAGTAAGGTTCAGATCATTTTCTATCTCAGTACAGTTCGTCACCCTGTTAACCAGCACATCACCCTGTTTTAGAGAACTTACCTCCGGTAGTGGCAGACGATTGAGTGAAGAGTGACAGTGAGTTGGTGTGGTTATCTTTTATGGACGTCCTCCCTTCCTCCTCAGTTTCACAAATCGTCGGATGAAAGTTTCCAGCACCGTCTGAACTCACACACCATCACATTTTCCTGTTCTTCGTCATCACTCGATTCCCCTCACCAACCAGTTTTCAGTTTTTTGCCCTGAGCTCATGAAATCTGCAGGTCCTGTTACTCAGGCTTTAGTTGCACTGCTCAACATCCCAGCTGTAACCCCCTGCCCCCTCTGTTCCTCTCACACACTCACGTTTTTTTGTGCTAAATGTGGTGGTGGGGGATCAAGCACGCAAAGGGAAGCCCCACCCTCTGGTGATTTGCGTGTATACTATACAGCTGTCTGTGTTCGTTTGAATACATGTAAGAAGATAAGTGATCTTTGCTTCATCTTAGGTGATTCATATGTTTTCAATCATTTCATAACATTGTATTCCTTCAATAATAAGAACTATATGTATATTATGGGTTAGGATTATAAGGAGAGTAATACTTGGTTTGGTTGATATAGCCGGTGTCTTTTTGTGTGACATTGTTTTGTATGTACATGCCTTTTTGTCTGGGTGTGCAAATGTAATTGTCAGCTTCGCATAGTTTTGATGTGACGTCCCCAGTATCATGGTAAGCCAATGATTCCATTTTGGATGTTTACAGTTTTGTAATTATATGAGTGAAGGGTGATTCAGAGAAAGACAAAACCTTCAAAGAACTTTTTAGCCACATAAGTTTAAAAAACAGCTTTTTAGTATTGTTCAATTCTGGGTTTATGAGAATTACAGAATTAAAATAAAAACTAGATTGTTTTCCAAATCATTCTAGTGATCAAGCAAGATGACAGAAAACACTGTATTGCCTCTGAATGTTCCCGTGCAGGACTTAAATGTTTTCCCAACCCGTTCATGTACATTTATTAGGATTTAGCTTTGATGCTAAAATGAGTTGTATGTTCCTCTATAAATCAGCAGGAGGGAGGCTGAGCAGCAAGTATTCTGCATGTTTAACATTCCTCGGTTGCAGTAAGTTACTCCATCTGTTACAGCAACCTGACAAACAAAATACCCTCTGCAATAGACAGATAGTGAGGGTGGAGTTTTAACGTATTGTCAGTTACTGCAGCACACAATACTTATACTGTAAAAATTGTGATTTTCTGTTAGTACTGTAAATATACTGAAAGATACGAAAATAAAGTCACTTTCCTTGATCTATAATACTGTATTATATTTTTTATTTAAACACGTTGGGCAACAGAATACAAATGTGATGTTTAATCTAGGAAAATCTAAACTGTTTAAAAAGAGGTTTACTGTACATTTAATCTATCTTTTAAACTAAAGGTTAAAGTTTGGAGCCACATGTTTTAAAAATGTAACCATGTTTTGATAATGTAAACACGTGCTCCTCTCTCAGAGAGTTGGAGATAAAGTGGACTGTTTCAAGTCTGCTACTTTTTTTCCCAGTGGGTGAGCAAACAATCTGTCAGCTGTGAGGCAATGTAAAGCCTGACAGTCATGTCAGCTGCCTCTAACATGTGAGTTATATAAAAAAGCCTTCCTGTCATTTGAGTCAGAAGAAATTGTTGCTATATGTTCTTCTATGGGGAGCAGGAGTTAGATCACATGACAGCGTCTGTTGTCTGTTACGGTCCACATAAGCTGTACACTGTTAGAAAATCTAACTTGTCCATGAAACCAGGAATCGTCACGCAGTCTTACAGAAGTTCATGTTCAGTGTCTTCATCTGAGTCAAAAGGTCAGCAGTCAGCAGACTGATAAGGAAAGATGTAATATTGCAGTTTACTTTTTTTTCTCTCCTTGTTTGAACTCTCATATACTTCGATTTAACATCACATATAAGAAACTTTAAATTGGCTTAAAAATTCTTTGCTTTGCTCCAGTAGTTTTGCAGCAAGATAAGCAAGAGTTGAAGAATGAAGAGCGGACTGAAACAAGAGTAGGCCTACAGTAACCACTTTATATGTCCAACATCCACATTTCTTTTAAAATTGATAATAACATAGCTAACTAGATCATGACTGTACTAAGAACTTCATGAGAGAACTGCTCTACCAGATGAAAACAAGCTGGAAAAAAATAATGTTTTTTTACATGTAGCTGTAATGGGTAAAATGTTTGGCTTAAATTATACTTTGTAAATGTCAAAATGCTCTTTTACTATCAAATATTGGACTTAAGTGGTTAATCGCTCTGCTGTAAAGCCAGCTATTTTGCCAGGAACAAGTTAAAGATGTGCTTTGGAAAATCCCTTAGAATAACAGGTTAAGATAATTCATCACAGACAATAAAAGGGTGGATTAAAAAAACTCCACTTATTTTCCAATGTGTTAAAATATTCCCTTTGACCCTTGCAATATTATTTCCTCTCTCTCTCTCTCTCACTGTGTGTGTATATGGAAGTGTGTGTGTGTATGCCCACTGTTGTGTGAGCTCAGCGTACTGGAAGGCCTAATCACCCGTTGCCATGGCGATGAACTTGGGTGCTGTTCAGTTATTCATCCTCTTTTGTTTGCAGTTTGTTTTAAAGTCCAATCACTCCTTGTGGAATTTGTGGCATCCACTGTCATTTTGTGCGGGTTTTCAAAGCAATTTTGTACCACAGTCAAGCATTTTCTTCATCAGCCTACAAAGTGACATTTAAAAAGGTCCTATTCTCTTTAAAAACATTAGTATGAAAACTTGAAAACTATGGGGAAAAAAAGTTCAATCTTGTTCCTAACTTCTATGAGTACTTCGTGTTATGAGTGATCTTGGGCTGGTCTAAAAAAGGGAATGAACACTGTTTGCACATTGTTGTGGTTTTGTTTCATCATGGAGACTTGTGAAATTACAGGGAAAGTCATTTTAGCGGATATTTTGCTCGCTGAGTCTGTGGAGAAACAGGACTAAATCAGACCTTCCTGTTTTCTGTAATGCTTCCCAGTCCCCAAGACTTGATTCATTTGGGGAATGCACATGAATCCCTCATTCCCAACTAAGGATGAGAAACTCAGATAAGAGAGATGTTTACAGAAGCAGCTCTCTCTAATATGACTCGTGCCCTGGCACAAGTTTATGAAGCAATACCACACAACAGCATGTAGTTATGATTTATTGGCCCAGAAGTTCAGCTAACTCATATTACAGCCAGAAAATGGACCAGGTTTCAAAGAAAGACATTGGAAAAAATGACTATTTAATCAAATTGATTACTTAAAAGTTATATTAACAATGTTGTGATATCTCTCCATGCAGTTTGATGCTTTCACCCCTAGAGGGAAACAAATCACTTGTTGACAACTTTGCCTGATTTAAATAAAAAAATGTAAGACTTAACACATATTTTTTAATGTTAGTATTTATTACAGACCTTAGCATGAAAAATTAATACACATGAATAGCAAAGAAAAGGCTTGACTTTCATTTAGTTCCACTCATTGTATTTCTAATGATTCATTTGCTCCATTTTTCCTGATTAGTTGACTGTTTTTCGTTGGTCTATAAAAGAAGAAATATGGTAAATGAAATGCTTGTGGCAACCTTCAAAAGTTCTGTTTATTAATAGCTTGATTTGTTAGATCAACATTACAAAAGCCATATACTGTATTTGATTTACTGTCATTTAAGACACCAAAAAGAAACACCAAACACGTTTGGACAAGCTCATAGAGAAATAGCTAAAACATACTCTTTAATTGTTTAAATAACTGTTTGTATATTATAAATTGCTTTTTTTTTGTATTGACTGATTAATTGCTTGACCAATCTTTACAGGTCTAAATAATTGTATACAATTATTTAAAAAACGAGTGGTAACATTTATAAGTTAACATCCCTTATATTAGCTTACATACTGAATTGTATATATAAAAAAACTGTACCATAGTCTAATTCTTCGATATGTAAAAATCCCTTCATCTTATAATTTGTCACATTATTTTGATTCAGACTATATTAAGGTTACACATGAGCTTTTCAACTTAACACAGTATCAACAAAACATATCCCCAAGAGTGTTTTTCATAGACTGCGTCCTCTGAAAAAGGACATCTTATCTTGGTTGTGTTGTTACTCTGGAGGATGTGCACACTCAGCCTTGAGCTTATCCATGCTGTTGTTGAGGCGATACATGCAAAACACGGCAGCAAAAATTAGGAACAAGCTTGCAGCCACAAGAAAGATATAGCAGAACATGAGTAGCCCGGTCAAGGCCGCATTCAAAGGCAGAAACCACACGTACACCCAGCCCTTGTGAAGGTTGTGGTGAACAAACTCCGGTCCCTCTTCAATCACCAGTGTGTCATAGAAATTAGCCGTCTTGTAATGAGACGAGGGCTTCTCAGTGTTGGGAAGAAACTCCTCGTTAGGCTCGTTGGTGGTGGGAGTTTGGAGCATTGTGGATAAGATGGTGGAGGGTGGTGGTTTTGTAGTTGGAGTGGTTGTAAGGATGGTGACTTGTTGGGTAGCGCCTTCAGTGGTCCCTGATGTTGTGGTGGGCATTGTGGAGGGCATTGTGGTGGGCATTGTGGTGAGCATTGTGGTGGGCATTGTAGTGGGCATTGTGGTGGGCATTGTGGTAGGCATTGTGGTGGGCATTGTAGTGGGCATTGTGGTGGGCATTGTAGTGGGCATTGTGGTGGGCATTGTGGTGGTTGAAGCAACAACTGGTGTTGGTGTGGTGAACAAATAACTTGACTTGAGTATCTTAGCATCGCAAAAGTTGAATTCCTCATCCTGCAGAGAGTCAATGGTACGGAGCAGTTGTAACACAGGACTATGACATGTCACATCCTGTCCGTCAAGAACAACATGCTCATGTTTTCTTATCCATTTTGCAATACCTCTAATACTACAAGTACAGTCCCAGGGGTTGCCACCCAGATGAAGAGCCTTCAAAACTGAATTTGACAAGAAAGTATCTCCTGAAAGAGTCTCGAGATGGTTATTCTTCAAATCAACTGTCAAAACCCCTCCAAGGCCCTGAAAGATGTTATCTGGTAGACTCTTCAACTTATTGTCATTGAGAAGCAGTATGCCAAGTGTGGTTAGTCCGGAGAACAGCTGGGGATGTAGATAAAGGAGGTCATTGGATTTCAATGACAGCTTCTCGAGTTTGGGAAGGCAGCAGAAGAGGTCCGAAGGCAAATCCCTCAGCTTGTCGTTTAAATGGAAGTTAAGCCTCAAAAGTCCTGACATGTTTGCGAACACATTTCCAGGAACAGTGGTGAGATTAGTAGCATACAGATACAAGTCTGTCATATCAGGCATGTGACCCATTAGCTGGTCTGGTAAAGATAATAGCGGGTTGCTGTAAATGGTGAGCTTGGTCAGCTTTGGCATGTTGTAGAAGGTCTTTTCTGGGATAGCCTGAAGTCGGTTGGAGGAGAGGGTGAGGGTCTTAAGGTTCTTCAGTGACCAAAATACCTGAGGGGGAAGGATGGTAATTTGGTTGTGGTGGATCTTTAGCTCCACAAGGTTAACAAGTTTATCAAAAATCCCAGCTTCTAGCTCCTCCAACTCGTTGTTATAGATCATGAGCTGGAGAAGATTAGTCAAGGAGTGGAAGATGGTTGGTGGAAGCTTATTTATGGAGTTCCTGCCAAGGTTCAGGAAGGTGAGTTTGGTCAGTCCATCGAAAATATCTGAAGCAGGACTGGTCAGTTTGTTCCGGCTCAGGTCCAGATCCAGCAAACTAACTAGTCCTTCAAACATATCCGGAGCTATGGTCTCCAACTGGTTCCCATCTAAATGCAGTTGCTCCAGTGTCGCCAACGGACTGAAGACCCGAGCAGAGATGGTAGAGAGATCGTTGGACGACAGCTTGAGAGACTTGAGCTGTGGAGCAACGTGGAAGGCATTGGGATGGATAGCATGTAAGTGGCTGTATGTCAGACTGAAACGCAACAGCAGGTCCTGGTCAGCCAAGCTCCGCTCATTGATGATGTTCATTTGAGTGCCATTAAGTTGCAGCAGGTACGTGTGGACGGGCAGATTATGTGGTATATCTGTGATGGCGTCGCCAACACACTTGACGGCACCTTTAAAGTTACACAGACAGCTGCCGGGGCACAGCATGTTGCAGGTGAGGTGTGGCAGTGTGAAGAGGATGAGTATGGTCCACAGGGTGCCTGCAACGTTGAAATAAAGACACATTTGGTGCATGAGATTCAATCTGAAATTAAATATGTGTCATTACCTCAGCAGTAATGATTTTTACATTTCAAAAAATGCAATCCCTGACAAATAAATATAAAAATATTGAGGAAAAACATGTATAAGTATATGTATTTCTCTTAAAGGACAGTCAAAAGCCAGGTCAAATATTCCACCAACCTCTGAAGAGAGAATCCATTATTGCCTGTTGACAGAATGATGAATTTGCTGTGATGTGTGCTGCTCCTCTCTGCAGGGCCGTCTTATAGAGCTGAGCATCCTGTCAGTCAAGATCAAGGTCAGCCCACCAAAATAACCACCCAAGTCAACCATCTCAGCACACATCCTTTATACTGCCCGAACCTCAAATGAACCCGGTGCCATAGACATGGAAAATAATAACAATATTTGCTGTAGGCCATGACCCATTTCATTAGGCTTCTATCATTGTGCCCATGTTTTACTTGACAACTCAGCGTTGAGAATTCTACAAACATTTTGGACCCATTGTAACCTTTTTGTATATTTAGATTTATTCCTTTTTTTTTATTTTGTTTTACTGACAGCATTTGTAAAAGCCAGTTTCGTACTGCTGCTTGATGAGGGTGAGTTTTGTTTTGACTTTGGACAGTTTGACTCTCCTTAACCTTGTGTGCTAACTTGTTGCGGGAGTTTTTATTTTTCATCTTGGGCTGCCTGGAAATGTTAAACGTTTGGCACGTATTATTGTTTACTGCTAACTTATGAGTGACATATTGGCTCATTTCCTGTAGACTTATCTCAACAGGATGGCCTGAGCCCACTGTGCCGGCACATATGGTGGAAGTGAAACAGATAACACCCTTCCCTGTATCGGGTCAGTCATGGTGTTATGTGTCATGTGATGCATGTAGTGTGACGGGCAGATGAACACTTTCACTTAGTTTCAGATTTGTGTAGATTTCAAAACTATAGAAGCACTTTTTAAATCTGTCACCTCTCAGCGTGTGTTTGTTAATTTTAGAGACAGATAGAAGGTATTCTGTTTGATTTTGGGAATAGTTGTTCTCTCACTGAGATGATGTTCTACATTTCTTTCCTGTCAACAGAAATTTACTTTTGAAGTGCTCAGGAATCAAACTGTTTTTGTGTTATAATCAGGGGTGCACATAACTTTTTTGCCCTGGTTCTCAAAGGAGCACCTGGAGATGTTGCTTGGTGCTCATCCTTAAAATGAAATAAACCGTAACTTTTGAGGGGGTCTTGACTTTATTTGCCAGACACACGGCACTGAACACACATGCAGAGGTGAACACAGAACACACATGCAGAGGTGAACACAAGACAACATTAGCACGACCAGTAATCCTACAAGCATCACTACCCTCCTGACTGTTCTCCTCACTGTCTTCCTCTCTGTCAGACATGGTAGCTGATGATGTAGGCCTACTACTTTCTCTCTGGTTGAGTCTGCGATTAGCTGCTTGCATCCACAAGTCAACAGCTAGTTTTGGGTCGAAAGTCTCTGTTGTCATCTTAGACAAGTGGATGTAATCAAATAAGTATATGTGAACATAACCAATAGCCTACCATAGCCAATAACAAATTAATGTAACATATTTTATTTGTGTTGTTCATTCATATCTTATTTTACCTTAACATTTATTTATTTATGCATTTTTTTTTTATCTCCAGTTTTAAAGGATATTTTTGGTTACTGTCCTATAGTATACATTGGAATGATTTAAAACCTGTTTATCCCAATAATTACAAAGGAGTGCCTTGGAAATATGTGTTTACATCAATTGTGACCAAACTGTTTGAATTTAGACTAAGAGTCCTTTACCTCACTGAGCTGTAGTTAACTTATCAGCCTCTCAGTCTGACTGGAGAGGACTCTCCCTCCACATTATTGTAGAAACATCTTCTTCTTATCTCCGTTAGAGCAGCTAGCACGGCACCAGATTATCATAACAACAGCGCTGGTACCACCCTCCCTATCTCCCTCGCTCACTCGCATTTTGTCTGTGAGCTGCGGGCGCCAGATAAGCCAACATCCCCCATTTTCATCACTTACAGCGCCCATCGTACAGGGCAAATGAAAGGTGGAACCGGGGTGAAAAGGGTGTTACCAGGGCCGCCCCTGGCCAATTTGGGGCCCCAAGCGACATTGTTGCGGCTTTCACACCAGCGCTTTTCCCTTTCTAGCTCCGAGCTAGAGCTTTTCTGGTTCAGCTCCGGTTTCCCTTTTCTGCTCCCGCTCTGTTCACACAGCCCAGCACCCGACTGGTGCTGCCGCTGCTGCGTCATGACGTCATCGTTTACATCGCTGATTTGCTCCCCAACGGCATTACGGCGCTCACAACAACAACAACAACAACAACAACAACAACAACAACAACGGGGAACTGCGTCGGGTCGATGATCGTGTTGCTTTTAATCACACGAAGCCAGATTAAATTGAATAACGACTTTTCCAACCTTATACTTTGCTCCAGAGTGCCGTGGTTCATTGTTTATTAATGTGTTTCTGCAGCATTTACCAACCGCTGCTCTTCCACGGGAGTTTATTCTCCTCCGTTAGCTCCCGGTTAGCTCACACTGCTGCGGCCGCTCTAAAGTATTCACTGTCCGACTCACACAAGCAGCTGATACATATCCCCAGTTCCCCTTAGCCTAATGGCGCGTTTCCACTGCAGCGGGGTAGCCCCGTTTAAGCGTCCCTAATGGCGCGTTTCCACTGCAGCGGGTAGCCCCGTTTAAGCGTCCTTAACCGTCCTCAAGCGGCCAGGCTGGTTTTTGGTGGCGTTTCCATATAGCCTAGTACCGGCCAGCGGGTACTTGTTCCCTCTTTTTCCGGCCTCATAAAATCGTGGTTCCCTCAGACCAGGGCCAGGGCTGAACTAGTGACGTCAACACTCTCGACTGCTGATTGGTCAGAGAGAATCGTCACAAGATTGCGCGCGAGTTCATCCCTAGCGTCGCATATATGGTGTGCCTCTGTGTTTAGTGTCCTGTCTGTCTGTAACTTTGTGTGGTAGTGTTACCACTGACAGGTCTCTCTTGAAAATGAGACCTTGTGTCTCAATGAGATCTACACCTGTATAAATAAAGGCTAAATAAAAAATAAAAATATATATTTAGAAGCAAGCTTGCAGCATTTTTATAAACAGCATTTTGTAAACGGATGAGCTACAAAAATGGCTACGTCTAATAAGAAAAGCACACCGTGGTCGACCGAGGAGGTGACGACGTTCCTACATCTCATTGGGGATGATCAAATCCAGCGGGAGCTCGACGGAACAACTCGAAATGTGAACAAAAACAAAGCCGATCGCCCCGCCTACACTGCGTTGCTACCCCAGGTCCTAAACTGTAATGGAAATGCGCCACGGCCTGGGCCGGCCAGCGAGGCAGCCCGAGGCCAGAGCGAGGACGCTTAGGGACGCTTAAACGGGGCTACCCCGCTGCAGTGGAAACAGAAACATTACTGCATTGACTCACTGGCTCAGAGCAAAGTCAACACTTTCTTTAATGCAGCTGTAAATGCAGCTGAGCGTCATATTCAGTCTGGTTTCCCGGAAATCTCCTCTCCTCATTGTTTCTGTGCGATTCAGTTATTTTCACAGCAGCTCTCCTATTGTCGAGACTAAGCCTGTGACTCAGTTTTGTAACACCTCCCAACAAAAGACCCTGTTTAATTACTGTGCAGTAATCTGCCCCTCCCCACAGATGTGCAACATTTGCCACATTCCTTCACTGCATTTATATCCACTGTTTAACATTTTTGATATCTAAAGTAAATAAAGATTAATACTAGATACAATGGTTAAAATGTTTTCTTAGTGGTTCAGTCGTATTTTGTTCGTCTTTTGTTGGAAAGGTAATGCAAACAATTCTCAAACCTGAACAATTCCATTCTCCAACCCACTCATCTCCAATCATTTTCTCTTAAGACTTTCAAATAACAGATTCACAGATTCACATTATAATTGTATTTATTTTGTAAAATAAACAGCAGTGCATTTCTAAAAGCAGTGACAGATGTGATGTTTGTTGGCAGCAGTACAAAATATGTTGTGCCAAATTCTGCCACAAGAGACCGACATAAACACGAGCAGTAAGCAAATCAAATCCCTACGAAAATATTACTATGTCTTTGCAGTCAAGTACATTTTGTCATATCTGACCCTCAAGTATTTCCAGTGAGTAGCTGATTATTTACAGGTTAAATATGAACAGCCTCAGTCCTTCGATCTCTCATGAGAGCACCTCGGTGCGGTGAAAATGTTTATTGATGACTTGATTATGGTACAAATCTATATTGCTAGAATAAATACAGTGTGATTATTTTACTGGTGATTTGAGTCTTAAGGCTATGTTGGGCTTTGCAGCAAGATTTCACAGTGATCCTCCTCCCCTTGCATCCGTGTCAGACGCAGTACTTCCAGAAGCAAGCTGCTGACGAAAGAAGATACATTCATTTTACATGCTAAATATTAAAACTACAATGGTTAGAATTAACTTAAAATAGTAATGGAGTAGATGTTACGTTTTAACCCAGAAGTACTAAATGTAACTCACGTTCACCCCTCTTCTTAGAGGATTTTCCTTCTGCCAAATTGGCTGTGATCTCCCTCTCCAGCTCCAGATCCTCCCTCAGCGCCCGCAGCTACGAGCAGAGATGAGAGTGATTAAACGCACCACGGCGGGTAGACGTCACCGCAGTATCAATACACCAATCACTTGCAAGGAAGTAGTGTAACAGGTAGTCTCATATCTGCTCTGAGTTCACTTGTTTTTTTATATCGATAACATACAGTTACAAAAAACTCAAGGTGTTTATACGGTTTAAATCCTGATTTCTTTCCACATTTTTCCAAAAGTTACTTCAAGGAAGAATCTGTAAATGTTCTTACCTCCTCTAATTCAGCTAATGTGTTGGTCAGCTCAAAGCCTGCAAATAGGAAAACCAGTTGTCATTATCAAAGCAAGGCATGCATTTGTATTAATTTCACCAATTAATTGCATCTCTGACCTAAAGGGTCATCTTTCTCAACAGGAATTAAGCTCTTGTGTAGTAACAGTGCAAGGATCTTGCTCTGTGGATCCGTGTCTTCTTTTGGATTCAAAACATGGTTTCCTGCGCATACAAAGAGAAAAATACAACTTTAAGCAACTAAAATATAGACAGGAAATGTCACATCCATCCCATATCATAGTCAGGCATCATCTCCTAACCTGTTGCACATTGGAAAAGCTAAACCATTACACCACCAATGGCACTAATCTAAGGTGTGCATGCACCATCCTCTAGTATTTCAAATATATGCAGCAGAGACCTAAAACAATACCATTATTGTACACTTACCCGGGTTATAAATGCTCCGTCCTTGCACGTTTAGCACTCCCTGCAGTAGTACCAAGCCCAGGAGTCCTAAGCCATAGTTGACAACTGTAACTCTATCCATAGTACTGATTGTAAGATCCCAAACTATTGCTGCACTCTGAGTACTTCTTTAAGCAATACAAGGAATCTACTGCCTTGGGTCCATCCCGTCAATATATTTATCCTCGGGGGCCAGGAGGAGTGGCCAGTCAGCCCCTTGCGTACTAAATCAATTCTTCGTCATCGTGGGTTTCGTCAATAGGCCACCTTTTCATATGGAACATTGAGGGTCTGAGAGAAATACGGTGATGTGATATGACGTTGTAGGTGTGGCCCATAACCCTACATCACTCTGACATGTGCAAATCAAACCGAGAGTGGAAGGTATCAATCAGCCTCTTGGTTATGAGAGACCAGAATAGGATGTTCTTGGCACTTGCAAGTATTTTTCTTTTACTTGAATTGCTTCTTTAAATAGATACATGGGAGTGTGTTAGTCTGGGAAACGAAGGGGGCAAATAAATTGATTTAGTCCCTAAGTGTATCATAGCTGGAGATGAGCTCCTCAATCTTGGCTTCAGGACTGATTCGGAGTTGAAGGAACATCCATCACCGCGGCCAAGCCAACTACCCAACACCTCTTAAGTCACTCTAGTCTATTTTGCGCATCAAGGAAATCACATCTCATATCTGCCAGAGCAGCAGGCATTGTGCTTGCGTGGTGTGGCAACTAGTGTATTTGGCTTGTGAAAAGTGCTGTGCATCCCTTAAGACTTGACTTACATTTGTACAGTAGTTTGAGTCATATATAGTCAAATGAAATAGATTAATCAGGACATTTATTGTGTTATGATGAAAATACTATACTGTATATCAATGATAGCAATTGCAACCATCAAACAAAAATATTTAGCCATATGAAATGTCACAATATCAGATTTTCACATGCATATTGTGTCCAAAAGAGTTAACAATAGAAAATTGATTGCAATATCTTTGAACCTTTGAAAAAAATAGATAACGCATTCAGTCAAATGTAATAGCTTGATTGTTTATTGTGTGTTATTGTCTTTTTGTGTCTAAATGTGTGTGTATGTGGGGTTGTTGGGAAAATCAGACAAAGCAAAGCAACAATAGTATATGTGTATTATTGAAATTATATTAATATTACTTTTTTGTTTATATATATCACAGTTATGTTTGCAATATCTTAGGACAACCCTATAATATCAAGTAATAAACACCTAAACGCATCAATGTGTCGCTCTTTCTCTAAATGATTAATCAGTTCAAAGGTTTTGCAAACAGTTCAACCAATTTGAGTTTCTATTTTTGTGTGAATGATGGGTGGGCTGAAGCCACGTCACCAATCCTGTCCCGCACTAAACCAGTCCAATAATAAATGAAAAAGGTCACGGCATGTTGACCTCATGATACGTCACTGAAAACAAACAGCAAGACATGGGCACTGTCACTGGGCGTTGTTATTGACAGGCCAGTGAATGGACCACTAATACCAGTTCATTATAATTGATGCAAACTACAGATAGTTAATTGGAAACAGACAAGTGCAGGTGTTATACACAACTGCAAACTGAGAAGCTGAACACTAGAGGGAGTAATTACATTAACATAACAGCTGCTGTCAGATCACATGACACTGTGTCAAATCAAATCAAGTTTTATTTATATAGCACATTTATAAACGATTTTTGGTCGAGCCAAAGTGCTGTACATATAATAACATTAGCCTACAGTAGAGACACTTTACAGCAAATACAACAACACAGATTGTTCAGAATATCAGTATGAGAAAAACGACACCCTCTGTCCTTAGACCCTCACATCGTACAAGAAAAAACTTCCAGAGAAAACCCACAGTTTAAGGGGAACATGGGAGAAACCTCAGGGAGAGCAACAGAGGAGGGATCCCTCTCCCAGGACGGACAGACGTGCAATAGATGCCGTGTGTAAATCGAAGAGATAATACATTTTACAGCATATAGACCGAATGTTAGGAAATGCATGTGTCTGTAATAAGAAGATGAATCCACGAGGATGTCAGCTACAATCCTGAGGAAGCCATCAGGGAAGCAGCATGGCGAGACCCAAGGCAGGACCGCAGAGACAGGTTCAGCCACGACCCGAAGTCCACGACTGTGTGTGTGAGTCTGTTCATATAATCGGTTGTGTATTTGAGAGAGCGAGAGAGCAGTATGTGATCTCTTTACGTCTTTACTTATCTGTATACTGGGTGTTTGAATAAATATGTAATTTTAAGTTAAAATGTTCCTGCCTTTCTTTCTATAGTTGCTTACAATGTTGCAACGCTACAAAGCTCTGGTCACACCCTTCTTTATTCTAGTAGATATTTACTGAGGCTATTGTCAGTACATTTTCTATTTCTATCACACTGACTTTGGCAAAGTAATCACCTGCCAATTGTTTTAAAATAGAATATATTCAAGAAAATCTTGTGCAAAATGCAACTCATCACCAAAAACTGTTTAAAAATATCCATTCAATATTCCATATTCAATATTTTAAAACGTGAACACCAGCAAGAGTCCAGCCCCTGGTATGACAGAGCTAGACTGACCTGACCTCCTCACATGATTGTATAAACAACTGTATACAACTATATTGGGAAATCAATGGTTGCTTAGTTTTCTATCTAGTTACAAGGGACTTTCTTTTTGTCTTTGGCTGATTTGATTTTCATTTACATCATGAAATCAATGTCCAACATATAACCAGTAGACCTAACTGCAATCTACCCGAGGTTATGTATTCCCAAACAGTGAGACATACAAATGATGTATAAAATACTTTTACAAGGAAGAGAGAGGCAGAGAAAAAGAGAGCAGGAAGAGCCTACAGACAGCTTGCAATGCACAGATGTGCTTTATTCAGACAGACATAAGGTACCAACCTGTGTAGTCATTCTACTTCTATTACATTCTAGTTTTTTAACTAAAGTCACCTGCAGCACCCTCAAGGCATCATTATTCATTTTTGATCAGATATAGCCCAGGGAGGCGTGTTCCCTGTTGCTTTGTGCTGAAGATGACTTCTTGCAGCTGAACCTGGAGGCTGGAGCTGCATCAAACTAACCAGCTGTAGCTAGAATTCTACCGGAAGTATGATAATTTACTCTTCAAAACAAAAGCATGGATGTTGAATTCATGACTGCTGATGAAAAGAGGTTTGGTGAGGATCCTTGGATTTTAATGTCTTGTAATAAATGGTATTTCAGCCATGTGTGATGTATACATTATTATTGTACAATGTTCTCATTTTGGATGGATTTTTGTGGCATCATTTCCCAATTAAAAAAATCATTTATAAACAGGACATTTTGTGATATTTGCTAGGTCCCTATAAGGTTTCAAATCGCAGCTCTGAGCATGATGTACGTTTGTGCAGTGTTTCAGTTTCTGTCACACCCACACTGTCCTGATTAAGCATATTAGCTAAATGTTGTGATTTTAGTAATATCCAATATGTTTTTTTGTTTTGCATTCACTTAACTCAATTATTTAGTCATGAATGTTTATTTTTGAAAAATATTTACAACTTAAAAAACCCTGAAACTCTCATTGATTAACTGTAACAGCATGTCATTCACTTAATGCTAACAACAATGTATTCTTCTACTCTTACCTACAACTTTAAGTTTGATGATAATACATTAAATATGTTTTAAATATCTGTAGTTATAAGTAATTATTTAGGCGGTTTTCTTGTTTTAGTCATGTTACATTTTGACTGTTTTGTGGGAGCTATTTCCATACAGGCAAGTTTCAAATAATCAAGTCCAAGTGTTTTATTTTGAAATGTCTTAAGCGGAAGTGGTGTGCTGAGTCACTGTGACTTGACAGGCTGGTCGTGTGAGGGTTCAGGGAGGGAGGGACGCTCGTAGAAAACCCAACAACACGTTAGTAGCTGCTAGGCAATTACAGCAGCGACGAATCGAGAGAAGGTGGCCACCGAAACTAATCAAAAGGGCCGTCCAGCACCTGAACCATCAATCGGGTTTATGAGTAAAGGCGATCAATCAGCTTCCGCGTTTCACCGAAGGTTAACCGCGGAAGTGTAATTCAACGTCAACGTTTTTTTGTGACTTATTGTCGGTGACAACATGGCTGAAACTGACATTAGCATCGACAAGAATAAACTACCTGGAGTGAAAGAGGGTAACGTCTATAATATATTCGTGTGCAGTACGCTAGCTCTTTAGCATCACATCACTAGCTAGGTGATTCTAGCTAGGCTAACCGAGTGAACACAGGTGTATATGTTTGCTGTTGTGATTGTGATGGTTAGTAGCACAGCTTGCTAGTTGATGCTAAGGCTGTTAATTCTGGTGTCAGGTGTTAAATACTGATTGTACACTTCTTGGCCTGGGTACAGATTTTGTATCCCTTTCTAAATACGCTGTATATTAAGGCCACAATGCGACACATTATTAAAGCAAGGAGAAAACAGTTAGGCATATTATATCCCAAATCACATTAATGGTTTGGATTATGCTGCAATGGTTTGTGTGCAAATGAATACAGTCTACAATCTGTCACGACACCTGTGTGTGTAAATGCTTTGTCGGAGCCAAGTGGCTTAGTACTGATCACATGGAGGTGTTAGATGCTAGATGCTTTGTTTGTTATGATGAAAGCAGTATGAACAGTGGCCTCTTTATTTTGAATTTCTTATCTGACATACATTGGAAGAACTTGTGGCCTACATGGTAGAGATCCTGTGTTACAAGTAAAACTCCTGAATTCGACATGTTACTGTACAAAAGTACTTAAAAGACTCAGAAGTAAAATGACTCACTTAACTGCCAATTTCAGAATAATATATTGTTTTACTTTAATGTAAAAAATGTGTGTTAATATGCTTATCACTTTAATGTTGCAGTTGTTAGCTTACTCTATGGTGAGTATTATAGAAATAATTTAAATCTGTCACTAAAGTTTTCAAATCATTGTACTGGAGCTTACACTTTAAACTTGCCTCTCAGATCTAGGTACTACAAAAATGAATTACTAGTAAATGCAGGTATCTTGAATTTGTACTTTAAGGACAGTACTTGGGTGACCTAGAACATTTCCACCACTGCTGACTGTTATTTTTGGCTTAAAAATCTGTCACTGCTTTGAAATATTTCATGAAGACTTTGTCACCAGGAAGAAAGAACCACAACACCAGGCCCCTTCCCTAAAATGCTCTGTGCTACTGTAACTGATGTGAAGCTGGAGAGTGGGGCTTTTACACTGAGGCAGGGTTTGGATGTGAAGCTGTGTTTGTGGGGAAGACTGTCCTGTCATTGTGAAGCAGCTGCTCAGCAGGATGCTTGGTATTCTGATCAGAGAGAAGGAACGAGCATTCCCACTGCTTGGCTAGCCTGCAGAGGCACAGACTAAGAAAGCTGCTGGAAAAGTTTCAAATTTCATCCCCCATGTGTGAGGAATCGAGTAAATATTGTGAGCTGTCTAGTCGTGCTGTAACTCAGCACATGGGGGGTGACATTTACTGAGCTTGTTTTTTGCCATTTCCCTCTGCGCATAAAGTGGTTCTTTGTACTTCAAAATCATCCTGACACCACAATGCACAAAGTGATCAAATGATTGCCGCTGTAATCCTTTGTCACTTGTTGCTTTTGAAAATAAGATCAAGTAAAATCCTGCCTTTAACCAACTTAAGCTTTCACTGTCACAAACATTGTTAGAGTAGTTAAAACGACTAGTGTTCACGCAGCTATATCGGGCAGAATAAATCTCAATCAAGGTTCTTGGCTAAGAAGATTAAGCATATGGTTGAAAATAGTCTGTGTTGTTCAAATCCCGTATTGGTCGGGGCTTTGTGGAGGTCTTGCCCTCCTCTTCTCAGCATCTGCTTGAATCCACCCAGTCACCTCCCATCGTGTTAAACTGGACAATCTGGACCACTCATCAGGGTTTTGTTTGAATCCCAGGCGATGTTGTGCTTGGCTAACGCATGCTCACACATACTCATAGACTGTTGCCGGTTATTATTTGTTATACATATGAGGTAATCTGTGTGAGAGCAGATGATGGGCTGTGAGCCTGGCAGCCTGGGGTTACTGAGTGTGGGTTTGCTGTGCAATGAAAGCTGAGAGGAGGAGAGCTGGAAATACAAGATTAGTGTCACATAAAGGGTTGACTGAATATATATGATGTATTAATTATCAACCTATAACATAGTGTAGGTTGAAGAAATACTCGAGAGTAAGTAAAAGTATCTTTGGTCTTTGCTGAACAGAAGCCACTGCCAACAGCAGAGCTGAGTGTGGCTGCCTTTGAGATGAAATCATGACCTCTTTTTGTTCTTCTATATTTGATGCAGTGATGTTTACACAAGTTTTGCAGCTGAAGAAACGTTTTCTTGACACAGTATTTTAAGATGTCTATGGCAACCCAAGTGTGGTTAAATGCATGCACTGAAGACTTCAAAGCAGATGCTTTTAGATACATGTGTCCTATGCTATAGGGTCCACATCCATAATTAGCTGAGGCTGTGAGAAAGGTCTTGAATATCCCTTTAGCTTTTACTTTTTCCTACACAGGAAACAGTCAGTATTTGAAGACTGGTGCATCCAGAATATTTTAAAATGAAAGAGTTCCTCATACAGAACAGTTCAGATGGATGTGTGATGTTTTTTTATCGAGTTTTTATAAGGAAACCCCCCTCCTTTAACCATTTTCACAATTGTTTTCAGGATGACTGTTTACAGCCTTCACTAGCCTTATTATTGGAAAATCATAGATGGAAAGTGTGATGATATTTCTTCTGTAAAGTTGTAAGATGGAAATTAAAGTTCATGATATTAGTCATATGCAGTGTTGTGCTAGTTACTGAGAACCAGTAACTAGTTACCATTACTAGTTACTTCATGTCAAAAGTAACTCAGTTACTTTACTAGTAAAAAAGTAACGTTTTCGTTACTTGAAAAAAGGCTCCCATTAATGCCCTTATAACCTTCATTTCAGTACTGTTATTGCATTGGAGAATAATACAATCTGTTGATCAACTTGACATGCATTATATGCAATCTGGATTGCATCGATATTAGCTGGCTTTCCATTTTTGTAGCTTCAGTAGGTAGGTGTGACTCACTGGTGGTAAAACGGATGCACTGCTTATGTATTCTGGTTAACCCATGAAACGTGACCCCCTGTACTGATTGTGAGACAGATTTTAAGTGTGTTGCTCTACATGCGTATGTGTGTACTGTGTAGTCAGTTAGGCCGGATGTAGAATACCTGAAACTAAATGTCAGATACAAATCGTAATATCTCATCTGCCTCAAGCTTTCCTTGTACCAGCTGCATAGCTTTGAGTCTGAATTTTTCCATTTCAATGTGTTTCCTTTTCTGTTTCAGTGTGCCGAGACTTTGCTGTGCTGGAGGACCACTGCCTGGCCTACAACCTCCAGGAGCAAGAAAGTAAGAAACTACAAATCAGCCATGTTTTTTCAATTTCATATTCCCCCTTTTTATCTCCTAATTATTTCAAACAGTGGACATCTGCTTTTAATGTCACTGATCTGTGTTCAACTTCAGTCTGAGAACAGCCTGACTGCTTTATTAATAAAGGAAATAAATGTTCATACAGGTATTGGAAGTCCATTTCCTGTCTATTAAAACACTTCAGGGGTCAATGTTTTCTGCATCAGACCCCTTACATCACTGAAGACTATATTTGTGGAGCTGACCTGCTGCATTCTACTTGTAGGTCACGCAATGCTTACTTTGCAAAAGAAAAAGCTATGAAAGATGTTTTCAGAGCGTCGCTGTAGAAAAATGAATGCTGCCCAATGCCCACAATGTATGGGCTCAGAACAGTCTCATAATACACACATGCACACAGAAGGATTCAAACTTTTATTTCCGGATCCATACTTGTGTTTTTCAATGCACACACAAATGTATTCCGTTTCATATACACGTAAATAAAATCCAAATACAGAAAAAAGTTTTACATATGTATTTTTGATCCTCACTTATTAGTTTCCCGTTTAAATCCCCATAACCTGCAACACAAACAGCTTTCTGTGCACGGATCGCTTTGCATTCGTGTGTGGGTTTTTTGAGACTCCCCTGACGGTCAGCCGATTCGTACTTGTAATTTTTTCTATCTATAGCCAATCAGATGTCTCCTTCATTCTAAGCCAATCACATGAGCGCGCCCCCACGAGGGTAAGATTACTTCATATACGCATTTTGCGCAGTCCGGTCAGCTCGCTAAACAGAGGGCGGAGCATCAGGTGATCATGCAGAGCAGCGTGTCTCCATCAGACTCAGCAGCTGATCTGATCTCTCTCTTGCGTCCTGTTATACTTCCCTCGCGTTTATGTCCATATCGATCAGATCCAGCTCTCCTGATCGGCCTTTATAGAGAGCACCGATCAAACTATTAAGAGTGAATATCGGCCGATAATGACCGGCGGGGCTCCCCCCGAGGTCTAGCACTGGCTTCGTAGTGCACTAATCGATTAGGCTAAGCTAACCTGTAGCTGCTCCCTCCACACTCACAACAACTTCATACAGACATAAATAAAGCAGCTGTATTCGCCATACAGGAAACACACATTTAAAACGGTTTTGCCTGCCGTTTTTGTGTACACAAGCATTCATCAATGGTTTGGAAAGTGGCGCTGTACCTTAATAATATAAAGGCTTGTATTTGCGTGCATTTCCTGTTCGGAAAGTGGCGCTGTACTGAGAGTGGAGGTGTCCTGAGATTAGCGCCTGCAGGCAAGCTCCATGGAGCTGTCAGCTCCGGACTGCGCAAAATCCGATCCGTGCACAGAAAGCGGTTTGTGTTTGCAGGTGCAGAGGTTTTAAACGGAAAACAAATATGTGAGGATCAAAAATACATATGTAAAACTTTTTTCTGTATTTGGATTTTATTTACATGTATATGAAACGGAACACATTTGTGTGTGCATTGAAAAACACAAGTGTGGATCCGGAAATACAAGTGTGAATCCTTCTGTGCGCATGTGTGTATTATGAGACTGTTCTGAGCCCATAACAATGCTCCCCTTTTTTCATTTATGGAACATTCTGGAAAAGTCTCCCAAACTGCAGCGTCAGTGGCTGCAGTCTGATTAAGCCGACATAAACCCTGCTTCAGCATCACAGTTACCGGTGTGAATGGTGCAGGGTGCCACAACAATACTGTATCAGGGCCGTGGCACACTACAGTGGACTGCTGCATGTGATTACACACTGTGAGATTGTGTGTGTGTGTGTGTGTGTGTGTGTGTGTGTGTGTGTGTGTGTGTGTGTGTGTGTGTGTGTGTGTGTGTGTGTGTGTGTGTGTGTGTGTGTGTGTGTGTGTGTGTGTGTGTTGTGTGTGTGTGTGTGTGTGTGTGTGTGTGTGTGTGTGTGTGTGTGTGGTGTGTGTGTGTGTGTGTGTGTGTGTGTGTGTGTGTGTGTGTGTGTGTGTGTGTGTGTGTGTGTGTGTGTGTGTGTGTGTGTGTGTGTGTGTGTGTGTGTGATTAGCCGGCATCGTTTTCACATGAGGCACTTTGGAGACTCCCTTAAGAGGGTTTGTTCCTTCGCTGCTGATTTTCTGTAAGTGAATTATTAGGAATTGCTGAAAATCTCAATCTGATGAGAACTTGTGAATACATTTTCTCTCATCAAAAGCTCATTTTGCTTTAGTGTTTCCTTTTTAAAATATTCTGTGTAGAACTGCTTGCCTTTGATTGTAGGTTAGTGATCAAGGCGGGTTGAAAGGACGTTTTCTGACCCAGACATAACAAGGCCTTCCTTTGATCAGACACAAATGAATATGTGCAGATGGCTGCGATGGCCACAGAACCTCCTCATATCCTCCACCTTCAAAGAAATGACAGGAACCACTGCTTCTGCTTTTAGGTTCTGAAGGAAATTAGTTGATTACTATTCAAATGTTTTGGGGGGAGCTTGAAGCCTTTTGTCTCATAGACACTCTTACCTATCTTAACTGGGTTATTTTGTTTCCATACATTGGTCACCATAAAAGGTTCAATTATGCAAAAAGCTCTTTGAGTAAGAAGGCCAGATGTCACCCAGCCTTGCCCTAAGTGCAGGTTTGGCTGTTTTAGCTGAGATTCATATTGTTTTGGCTGGCCTTTGTGTTGTCATTAGCCCTTTTTAAAAGCTTTAATGATCCATGAAGAAGGGTAATCCCCATCGGCTCAGTTTGTTGCCATAACAACTAATCTGCTTTGAGCTAAAAAAATCTTTATTTCACCTTTGACCTTGGAGGTCACTGAGGAGTATGCTGCCTGACTTCTGAATATGCAGGGTCCCTTTTTTTCCTTGATCATATCAACAGATGGCCATCCCCAATTGATTTTCTATAACACATTTACTTCAGATTAAGAAGAGTTAAAGCAGAGTTTTATTTCCATTTAAAATGTCTAGCCAAGTGCCCATGGAAATATTTTCTTCACGGCGCTCTCAGCACTTAGCACTTGTTTCTGGAATGTGTTTTTCTCTATTTCAGCTAACAGCTTCTCACTGATATGTCTGAGGTTCAGACACTCTCTCACCCCATCTCCCCTTTTCTGAATGACGCGAGGGCCTTTCAAGGTTGTGTTTTGTTGAATGGACGAGTGTCACGGTGTCTGGTCATGTTTGTTTTGCTGCCTTGAAAGATTAATCAATTTTCCTGTTGAGATGTGGCGATGGATAAATGATAGCCGTATCTTGAGTTGTGACATTAGTTCTTCCCCCTTGGATATATTTTTTTGTAGGGTGTCATAAACTTTAACAATTGATCAGTGTCATCCAAAAAAATCAATGTCAGCCCCTTGACTTTTTATCAAGTGTCCACAGCTGTGACTCACAGCTTCCTCTTTCAATCCCACCAGTCACAAAGCAGGAACTTTATGGAGCCTCTCACAGGTAAATTGCCAAACGTAATTTGGTCCTTTTCACATGAAAGCTGCGACCAGATCGATAGCCAGGTGAAACAGAGCTGAGCGAGTGAGTGATGCCCTCCTTGCTTACAAAGTGTCCGGAGTGCGTCAGCAGCCAGGATTTATCATCTGTTATGTTCCACAACTAGCATCACACAACCTTGGAACAGCACCTCAGCTGCGAACAGTCATTTCTCAGTGACTAAGAGCGCTCTCTGTTTATCACCAGAGACTGAGCACCTGTGTTCATCTTGTTCTCTTCAGTCCATCTTAACAACACTGCCGCTCATCTGAGAGGAAGTATTAAAGTGTGAATCTGTAAATAAACTCTCTAGTGCTCTGCTGCTCATCACCTCTCTAATTCCACATCACCACAGGCCCTCTCTGCCTTGTTTGTACACACGTTTTAAGAGTAGTGCTTATGTGTTTGTGTCCAATAGTTGAGAGCCACTTGGCGTCCAACGTCAATAAGAGCCGTCTGGTGCAGACGGACTTGCTGGTGGCCAAGAAGCTGCAGGAGGAGGAGGATCTGAGGGCCAAGGGCCAGATCCAGAAGCAGCACGTTGAAACGTAGGTATTTCTCTCACACACATACATACACACACACACACACACACACACACACACACACACACACACACACACACACACACACACACACACTCTCCATATGTCTATATTAGGGCTGTCACTATTTCCCCTACACAATTATCATTACCAATATAATTCCCACTAACAATAATATTGTGATATCTGTGGAACATTTTAAGGAAAGAAATCAGTCAAATGTATCTCTAACTTTGTTGATTGTGTGTTGTAGTTATTTTTTGGAATATGATATGAAAAAAGCTGATTCTTATAGGTGCTTAATTATTTTAAATGCTTTATATTTTACATCTGAATATAAATACTTTTTAAAATATCACATTTATTGTCAATACGTGTGTACATTGCGACTCCTATATTCTACACTGAACAAAAATATAAATGCAACACTTTTGTTTTTGCTCCCATTTTTCATGAGATGAACTCAAAGATCTAAAACATTTTCTATATACACAAAATAACCATTTCTCTCAAATATTGTTCACAAATCTGAAAAGATCTGTGATAGTGAGCACTTCTCCTTTGCCGAGATAATCCATCCCACCTCACAGGTGTGGCATATCCAGATGCTGATTAGACAGCATGATTATTGCACAGGTGGGCCTTAGGCTGGCCACAATAAAAGGCCACTCTAAAATGTTCAGTTTTATCACACAGCACAATGCCACAGATGTCGCAAGTTTTGAGGGAGCGTGCAATTGGCATGCTGACTAGGGCTGAACGATTAATCGATTTTAAATCGAAATCGATGGCATCTGTTTCAGATTAGTGTAATCTTGTGTAATTACTCCCATACCCTATAGTGACAGATTTATGCTTCACCAGCGAGGGGATCCATCACTCCCACCAAAGATAACTCCAAACTGATTTATAGTTCAATCTAGGTTTGACCCTTTTTATCGTCGTAGATTCTTAGGTCATGGCTTGCATTTATTACCAGCGTGTTCATACACTTTCATTCTGTTTGTGCTAGAGGGCAAAGATGCAAAGAATCAGAATCGGTAATAAATAAGTAATATTCAGGGTTCGTACGGGTGCTGGAAATCCTTGAAAAATTTTATGAGGTGTTTTCAAGGTTTGAAAAGTGCTTGAATGTTGGGAATGGTGCTTGAATTAGGGATAAAGTGCTTGAAATTGTAAATGCTTTACTTCACTTTTTAGATGAAAAGAAAATAAAGAAGTCGGAGCGAACTTATTTGCTTCGCTTTTACATAAATTAGCTCCACTCCGGCCTTCCCGCGAGATGCGCTTGACCTGCAAGTGTTTTTGTTACGTGTGACCTCGGCATTCTGATGAGTGATAGATGACAGAATGCCAGGAGGTTGCAGTTTCATCAAGCCGTGGCTAGCAGAAGACAAATACAAGCCATGGCTAAGATGAAGGTCAAGCCCACGAGTAGCCTCCTGCAAAGTTTGCAAAAAATAATTTCAGTTGTTCAGGATGGGAGAGTCTGCGCTGACGAGCCACATGAAAGGTACGCTGTAGTAGAGTATTTTGGATTAGGCTAACGTTGCATGTTACGTTTGTTTAAGCTAACGTTAGCGAGCTGAATAGCGAACTCGATTGAGGGATGATAATAATAATTGCAGGGGACAATCATTTCAGAGGAGCGTACCTAAGTTAATATGTGCGTTACAGTCGCCATCCTGTGGTGTTCAGAGGATGAAGCACTCACTGTTGTAATTCAACCCAGTCTCACGGCATTTCATGTTATAGTCACAAAATATAATCTATTGATTCGACACAGTGATTTTAAAAGCAATGTATTTCTCAGTGATGCAAACACAGTATGGTGAAAAAAGAGAGAACTATTCGAAGCAGAAAAAAACCAGCGTAATATACCATCTGACAAAGGCCTGTGCTATAATGCTTCAATTAACTGGCTGTTCTTTATAATATACTCAGATCAATAGGAGACAGAGATGTTAAGTTATAAATCAAGGGTCTTTATTATTATTTACAGCAGGGGTGGGGAACCTTTTTTCCTTTCAATTTTTACAACATCCTCCGAAGGCCATACAAATGATTGAACTCAACCTCTGCTTAAAAAAACTAAAATCACAGCCCATTGATTTGGCATTTCTTTCATGCTGTGCAAAGAAAAAGCAACCTCTTAATCCAGATATTTTACCATGACTCGCGCATGCATGTGCACGGTTGTGGCATGACCACCAAAACAGAAAGATATGGACACAAGATGTGTGCAAATGTATTTATTATCCATGTGAACATGATTTAAGTGGGGGGGACCTAACCTCCTCTAGGGGGGTCCAGGGGCATGCGCCCCAGGAAGATTTTTTTTTTAAATATTGAAGTTAAAAGCATCAATCTGGTGCACTTAAAGAGCAACATGAGGAGATCTATGGATACATCTTTCAACACCTATTTGAAACAGAACTGTAAGCAGATTTTTCTTTTTGGATATTTTACAAATCACTCCCCTTTTTAAACTCTATTGTTATATTTAACAACTTTTATGTTACTGTCATATAGTATTTTATACCTGTTTTTCATTTAGTCTCTAATGTTATTAATAACTATAGTGATCATATCAAGGTGTGCCTTAACCTCACTGAGCTGAGGTTATTTGAACCTCTCAGGAGAGAGCTGTCTTCCACCTGGTTGTAGAAAAGCTCTTTAAAGGCCACACGCTGGATCTGGTGTGCTCTACCGGCTCTCCGCCCCCCGACTTACAGCGCCTCGACCTGGCTGTATCTGACCATCACGCCATCCTCTTCACTGTTCCGGTCTCCCTGCCCAGGCAGCATCCTAAACGCACCATTATGTTTAGGAACATTAAGACTGTGAGTGCACCCGCCCTATCCGACCTGATAGCTACCCACATGGCTTCGGGTCCCTCCGACTCCACCGTGGACGGCCTGGTAGCCCACTACAACACTGCTCTATCCCTCAGTCTCAACTCTCTCGCCCCCATTAAAACCCGGACTGTTTCCTTCACCCGCCCTGCCCCCTGGTTCACCACTGAACTCCACCGTTTGAAGGCCTCTGGTCGCCAGCTGGAGAGGCTCTCCAAAAAAACTGGCCTCACAGTCCAGCTCCTGGCCTTTCGTGAGCATATCAAAACGTATAAGGAAGCTCTCTCCCATGCCAAGACTCACTACTACTCCCGTCTCATTGGTGCTCAGCAAAGCAACCCCAGAAGACTTTTCTCCACCATCAACCGCCTACTACGGCCCCCTGACGCCCCCCAGCCCTCAGGGGCTCCCGATCTGTGCTCCAAATTCCTCGACTTCTTCCAGGCGAAAGTCGAGGCCATCCATCAGCAGCTCCTGGTGACTGGCCCTTCCCCCCTACCTGCACCTCAGCCACCTGGTAACGCACCCCAAGCAATGCGCCTCTCCCACTCCAACCTCTCCTCCTTCTCCCCTGTGGATGCTCTCCAAGTGGCAAAACTGGTCAGCTCGGCCAAGACCTCCACCTGCTCCCTGGACCCCATGCCCACAGCCCTGGTCAAGGACTGCCTACCCACCCTCTGTCCCTACATGGTGGTCATCATCAACGCTTCTCTGGCTCCTGGTATAGTCCCCACCAGCTTCAAAATGGCCTCAGTCACCCCCATACTCAAAAAACCTGGCTTGGACCCCGACGACCTCCAGAACCACCGGCCGATCTCCAACCTTCCATTCCTCAGCAAAACTCTGGAAAGAGTGGTCGCCGGCCAACTCCATCTGTACATGTCCAACCATGAGCTCTATGAGCCCTTCCAATCCGGCTTCAGACAGCAACACAGCACTGAGACCGCCCTCATCAAGATCACCAACGATCTCCTCATTGCTGCTGACTCTGGCCGCCTCAGCATCCTCATCCTCCTGGACCTCTCTGCAGCATTTGACACCATCTCTCACAACATCCTCCTCACCCGCCTCTCAGACCTCCTAGGTGTCACTGGCACAGCGCTGTCCTGGTTGACATCCTACCTCCACAACAGAAAACAGTTTGTCTCCATCAGTGGCTCAAACTCACCCCCGGCCCCAGTCCACCACGGTGTACCCCAGGGCTCTGTGCTTGGCCCCCTCCTGTTCACCATTTACATGCTCCCCCTCGGCCAGATCATCCGACATCATGGACTCAATTTCCACTGCTACGCTGATGATACCCAACTGTATCTCAGCACCACTCCATCCTCCCAGTCCCCCCCTCAGTCTCTCATCAACTGCCTGCATGACATCAAAACATGGATGTCTTCCAACTATCTTAAGCTGAACAGCAATAAAACAGAGCTCATGGTTGTGGCACCCAATGTGGTGATAAACTATTAAACACAGTGTGATGTAATATTCTGGTATCACCCTTCCCATTCATAATCGTCTTATTTAGTTCTAAAACGTATCATGGTGTGATTAGCAAAATACCACCCTGTGCTCTATATCCCTCGTGTGCCGTTCACCACAGGGGGGAGGGGAATTCGCCCTCCCTCGTGCAGGCTGAGCAGAAACCCGAGGCGGATTGATCTGACTTTAAACCGTTGAAATCTCCAGAATTCGGCGATTCCTCACATTGCTTTTGAACAGAAGTTCCACCTTACTGATGCTCTCCTTAAGGTCTCTCTGAATATTTGCCGTGTGTAATTGTCTAGTAATTTAATTCCAGGAACCACACACAGAGGAAATCGGTAAAAGTCGATATTCCGAGGTTATTTATTAGCCCAAAATATTCTTATTGTTTTATACATGAGCTGTGCTTGCTTCTGTGGGCACTTTCCCCAGCAGCAATCACAGGAAAAATCGGCCAGGATAGAATCCCCATTTGACACCGATTTCCCAGGTTATAATTATGCCTCCAAATGTACAGAGTAGAGAGACCAAAAACAAATTGCATCCGCGTGGTTTCACAGGTAATTTTGATACCGTCAATCACAGACTTGGTAAGGCAATATCCAAATATAGATTTGAAATTACACTTACCAGCCCTGACGATTTCTTGGTAATTGTTCGTGACGCAAA